AATTGTGTTCGTTTTATGAAAAAGAGCTTTCAAACTTTCATTGTTTGGTTAGCTGAAAGTGGATATTCAACCAAAAAGACTTTATGGCCAATCAATACAACCATACTTAAAATTGAGGAAAACGATTTCCCCATCCTAAAAAGAAGAAACTGTTTCCCCAGCTGTTTTTCCACACTCATGCTCACACGATGCTTCAATCTACTCCCTCTCTGTACTGGTGGGAAAAGAACAACAAAAAGTTATAAACCTACTGTATTGATACCAATTTAATCATAAACTTTTCAATTGGACCAATTTAGTCCTAAACCTTTTGCAATTGGTATCAATTCAGTTCATTCGACCAATTTATGTCGAAAATCGCTGATGTGGATGCTGGTCGTCCTACGTGGCATGACTGGCGCTGATGTGGACATTTCTAATAGTATTTTAATATTTTATAAATTTTTTTAAAAATAATTTTTTGAATTTTTTCTTTTATTTTCCCTTCTCTTTTCACTAGTGGCCAATCACCGGTCAATCAAAAAAGGAAAGGCAAAAAAATTCAAAAAAATTCAAAAATTCAAAAAATATTAAAATATTACGGAAAATGTCCACGTCAGCGTTGGCCGTTCTACATGACACGGTTGACATTCACGTCAGCGATTTCTAGTCAAAATTGGCCGGGTGGACTGAATTGGTCCAATTAAAAAGTTTAGAACTGAATTGATATCAATGTTTAAGACTTTTTAGGTACTTTTCCCCTGTACTGGTCTTTACTCTTCTTTGACACCTCCTCTTGGGACGCTTATTGTGGTATCATTTTTTGATTAATTTTTTGGAATGGAGAAGCATTCTCATGTGGTGTTTTATGACTATTGTGATATTAAGTTCATCAATTATTGCATTTTCTATTTTTTGGCATCTTTTTTCAGGGGAAAAGTGCCGAATAAGTCCTAAACCTTTTGGGGTAGTGCCAAATTAGTCATAAACCTATTTTTAGTGCCAATTGAGTCCTAAACCTTTTGATATAGTGCCAATTCAGTCCTTTTGGCCGGATTTTGCTGACGTGGACGTCGGCCGGCCGGCGACCGGTCACCGGAGCTGACGTGGACAAAATTTAATAATATTTTAATATTTTTTTGAATTTTTTTTTCTTCTTTTTTTTTTCTTCTCCCTCTTCCTCCAGTCGGTCGCCGGAGTGGCGACCGGCGGGAGGCCGGCACGGCCAGAGGGCGAGCCACGCCTGCCATCGGGCGATGCTCACCCTCGCCGGTGACTCGGGCGAAGGTGAGCCTCACCATGGCCGGGCGAGGCTCGACCTCGCCGGATTTGGCAAGGTTGAGCCTCGCCGGCGGCTGGGCGAGGCCCGACCTCGCCGGATCTGGCGAGGTTGACCCTCGCCCGGCCATGGTGAGGGCCGGGCAAACCTCGCCAGCTCAGCGCGAGCCTCGCCCTCGCCGGCGACGGCGAAGGCGAGCCTCGCCATGGTTGGGCGAGGCTCGACCTCGCCGGATCTGGCGAGGTCGGGCCTCGCCCAGCCGCCGGGGAGGCTCAACCTCGCCAGATCCGACGAGGTCGAGCCTCGCCCAGCCATGGCGAGGCTCGTCTTCGCCGTCGCCGGCGAGGGCGTGCCTCGCCAGTGGCCGGCGAGGTCGACCTCGCCGACCTCGGGAGGAAGAGGGAGAAGAAAAAAAAAAGAAGAAAAAAAGAAAAAAAATTCAAAAAAATATTAAAATATTATTAAATTTTGTCCACGTCAGCTCCGGTGACCGGTCGCCGGCCGGCCGACGTCCATGTCAGCAAAATCCGGCCAAAAGGACTGAATTGGCACTATATCAAAAGGTTTAGGACTCAATTGGCACCAAAAATAGGTTTAGGACTAAATTGGCACTTTCTCAAAAGGTTTAGGACTTATTCGGCACTTTCCCCCTTTTTTCAGGTTACCTTTTTTTTTTATAATACAAATAAACATAAAATTTATACATCACATATTAGTAATATTTTAGACAAGCGTTTTGATATCATCTTAATATGTTATAACAAGAACAAAACATATTTATAACGGAGAGAAGGATTTTTAAAAGTAAAATCTGAATATTTAAAAACTTTTTTCTGTCCCACTTTCAAGTAGGCCACTAAATTACTGAAACATTTTCCCTTTAAAATTATTTTTGCTGAAAACATTTTCCTCCAGCAAGAAATTTACAATGAACTGTGTTTGTTTCATGAAAAAAGTTATATTGAAGGAAATGGTTTTACCCGAATTTATTTTCAAAGGAAGTGATTAATATTCTTTTGTCTAGTTGTAAGGATGAAAATGAGGGTGAAGTAATTTTATATTGTTTGGATTTCAATAATAAGTTCTTGTTTGGATTTTTCATGTCAATATCACTCATCTTTAGCTGTTTTTCAAGCTGACGAATCACCTGGTGATAGCAATGTCTTATGGAGGCCTCTGTTTTATGAATGCAGGAGCATATTAGCAGGAACACATCTTTAGAGAAGCTAATACCCGTGCTCATATGTTGGTTTGATGGGGAAAGAAGATGGATCGATGTGTAGTTTTCGCTAAAAAATGCCGATGAAATACCTTATGAAATATGGGTAGATAAGTAAATCAACAAAGGGTACAAAGGGTTCTCCGATGATTCTTGGATAGGAAATGCGAACGCTGAAACAATTAGGAAGATAAAATGGAGCAGCTAGCGTACTCTCTACAAATTACAATTCGATTATTTAAACTACTACTGGCACTTAACACTGGTCGCAGAACAAATTAAACACACCCTAGGCGATTCCCACAATTCGACAATCTCTATATATAAACGTTATTGGTAAATAATCGACTCTACCACTTCGACGGCTGTGCCTCCACTACCTCACCGAGTGTGTCGTCTCCACTACTCTTCTGTACAATTGTTACTATCAATTGCTCACGAAACTTCTTGGCTCAACTACTCGACGGTTGCATTGGATTCCCCTTTTCACAAATATCTCGTCGACGGCTGTATCCCAAATCGTTACCTTCGCCATCTGGACGGTCACTTTACTTTGCCGACAGTTACGTCGATCATGGCCTTTTCTCACTCGAGTCGACCTTCAACTGTCGATATCCCGCTCTTGGACTCGGCTGTTTTCATCTCTGCAGTCCGTCGGCTAAAACCGGTTTTTATAATCGACCGACTGAATTTGCCGACTAAAGGGCTTGCAACTCTTCGCCAGTTTTTTCTCCGTCGTATCTTGCTCGGTCTCTTCCCGTCCGAATCGACTATCAAAGACCTAGATATGTTCCATGATGAACCTTCACCTCATCACAAGCACTCTCTTATCAGACCTATAAGTATACGGGCATGATGTTTAATGGATGGTGGATGACTGATGAACGGTGGAGATACGCAATGCAAACTGTGCGGTGGTGGGTGGGTCCAAAACTCATCTGAACTTTGAAGGGCCTGCTGCTGATGAGTGACGATGGGCTTTTCAGTCGTGGGGTCACACCGGCCCGCAGCATACCAGCAGCGCACGTGGTGGTCATTCTCATTTCTCGCTCGCTCGTCACCGTCACTTCGGGGAACGATGTCCCACGTGCACGCATTGTCGGACTCGTTGACGGCTGACGTGGCATCCTCAAACAAGGAAAGCGCTCTCCCGATCCCGACAAAAGACGGGTCCACTTTTTGCTCTTTTACTGTAAGCCAGGAAACAATCACCGAAACCGAAACCCAATCGCCAAGTTATCGTCAACAGTCCGTGACGAGATCGATACCTTACCTTCTTATGCATGGCGAAGGATACCCATGTTCGTTCAAGGACGAGGAGGAGTCAAGAAAGGACTCAACTTTATGATTCTCTTCTCCCCGTGTCTGCCACAATCAATTCGAAGATTCGGCTGTAAATGGCGGAATGAATGTCTCTAAAGGCAATCTGGGTGTCGTGGGAATCGACCCAAGAAATCCAACATCGTACATTTAACGTTGGAGATCGCGTGCGATTTCATTCCGAAGTTGCCGGGGGTGGTGGGGCCGCGCTTTTGGCGAATTGGGTTTGAATTTCGTTTAGATTCTTGGGGCGAGGAGGGAGGGAGAAGAAGGGAAGGGGGCGAGCCCGGTCACGTGACTTCGGGGTCGCCTCGCGGTCCTTCAGTGGCAAGTTCCTTCCTTGCAAAGCTATACCAAGCTGATATCAACCACAAGCACTCGCTTCGAACTTCCTCTCTGTATATATGAATGCGAAAGAGCAATGACGCTTGCTCCCACGCATTCTGATTTCCGGGTCTTTTCGTATTCCGTCGGCGAGTTTTTGCTTTGATCCCTGCCTTCTCCTTCTTCCCATCTCTTGAACTCAAGCGGGTTCCGCTGCAACTTTCTTGGTTCCTCTGATTTTGCATTCCCTGCTGATACTCCACGCTCGGGCGACGCGACCCCTGAAGCAAAGCGTCGCCATTGTGCGCTCCTTCGCCGAGGGCAGTCGCGGATGGCTTCGGAATCTGGGGTCATGGACGTGCAGGCCGATGGGCAGCTCTCCGCCGATCCTCTTCCCTTCGCCAGATGGTCAGTTGCTTTTGCCTTGTCTGCTCTTGTTTTGGCGATCCCAGTTGTCGCATGGTCGTCATCCAATTGTACCGTGACTGTCCGTTTCTTGTTGCCCATTTTGGGATTTGGTAATCTGGGCTGATGATGGTTTGGGCGTTGATGATTGCCAAAAAAAAAAAAACGACCAGTTATCAGGTGGAGGCGTTAGAGAAGGCCATGAAGGAGAACACGATAGCGTACTTGGAGACAGGGTCGGGCAAGACTCTGATCGCCATCATGCTTCTCCGCTCCTACGCCTACCTCCTCCGCAAGCCCTCCCGTTTTATCGCCGTTTTCTTGGTCCCTAAAGTCGTCCTCGTGTCCCAGGTTTCCTCTCTCTCTCTCTTTCCCACCGTTTTGAAGAAGCGAGCAACTGAGAATGTTGTCCTTTTTTTTGTTTCTGGGTTTCTCTTTCTGCAACTTCTCTCCTTGTATCATCGGTTATATAAGCAAGCGGAGGCCATAAAGATGCACACGGACTTGAAGGTGCAAACGTACTGGGGAGAAATGGGAGTTGATTTCTGGGATGCTGCCATGTGGCAGCGACAACTTGATAGCTATGAGGTTTGATGTCTTTGTTCATCTTTGCTGCACTGTCCAACTGTTTCTCTAGTTGCTTCTCTTACATCGTTGCATCTTGTCAAGCTCTGTCTCTTTGCGTCATTGTGAATGTCATGTGGTTTCTTATTAGTTTTCTTAGGTGCATTCCTAATTAATTTGTTCTTAGCTATCATCTATAGCTAATTCTTTGAAATTATACCTAGGTAATCCTGATAATTACCTTGATATATATATTTGCTTCATCTCTTCTAAGGGAGAGCACTTTAATTTTGTTAAGTATCAAGGGCGATCATTGTAGTTTCGTCCTCTGTTGATCAGTGACTGAATTCATCATATTGAATGGTGATCTTATTTCGTGTTTGTGCTCCCAGGTGCTTGTCATGACACCAGCTATCTTGCTCCACTGTTTGAGGCATAGCTTTTTCAAGCTTGACCTGATAAAGGTTCTCATCATGGATGAATGCCATCATGCAAGGGGTAAACATCCATATGCATGCATTATGACGGTGAGTCGTGGATTTGTCTTCTTGAATTGAAATAATATTCTATATGCAACTATATCTACAATCTGTGTTTGAGAAATGGCTCCAATACGGTTGTTGTCGCATTATCAATTCACTTGTGTAATCTCACATGTCGTTAAACCTGTTGCCAATACATGTATCTTTTGAATTTTGGAGCGATTGCTGGTTGGTGGTTGGTTTTTTGCTTGTTGAATGAGATTTACACTTTCGTTTCTGTTGCATTGCACCTGCCTTTTCTGTTACCTAGCATGCAAAACATGTTTTCGCTCATAGTGGAGGGATATGGATGCATCTACAGGAATTCTATCACCCTGGGTTACGTCGCAATATGCAAGTCCCGAGGATATTTGGTATGACTGCTTCACCAATTAAGTCCAAAGGTATGCAAGCTTCTGAATTTTAGTTTCGTGGCTTTGAAAACCAATCTATGCCAATGATACTTGACTAACTTTCCTAAAACCTAGGTGGGAACTCTGAAGTTCAATATTGGCAAAATATTAATGAACTTGAGACTGTCATGAACTCAAAGGTACCTCCTTGTGTTGTTGGATCCAGGTGTCTCCTTATGCTACACTGAATAAAATCAGATGGTGGTGCTTTCTTTCTCTAGTATGAAGTTACTTTTGCTGCTGCTGTTTGATTTTTCTATTTTTGCTTCAATTTCACTTTTAAAGGCTTGGTATGGTGTTATTCTTTGTGTTGGACATGTCCATGCTTATGCAATGTTCATATACATGAGATTACTGGATGCCTTAATATAATTTACACTATGCACAGATTTGAGTTCCTGAAATTAAGTTCGACTTTTACCTTTGGCTTTTGTAGTTGAGATCTGATGTTGGTTTAATATCGAATACCTCAAGTCTCTGAAACCAACTCCATATTGGTATTAATGGTCAAACCTATGTAGGACAAAATGAAAATATTTTCATTTTCCATTTTGGTGGGGAGTCAAATAATTTAAAAGCTGCCCCCTGCATGACCCAAGAACTGTGATTAACACATCCACGGACGTCATTGTTTCTCTGGGCCTTGTGCTGGTTTGTGCTAGTCACCCTAGTCTGTTTCCTTCTCGAAGTATGAGACGTTGCGCTGTTAATCCCTTTAGGCGTTTGAATGTTTAGTGCTTCATGAATTTCTCTGTTATCCTTGTTTGTTATACGATAAGCCATGTAGGTTCTGTTTCATCATTGAAATGGTGCAGCTGTGTCTTGACACTTTTCCTAATTTCTTCTCACGGTCATTTTTTGCTTCACTTGTTATCTAAGGTCTACACCTGTGCCAGCGAATCTGTTCTTGCCAGATATATTCCATTTTCCACACCAAAGTTCAAGAGTTACGAACATAGGGAGATCCCTTTCGCTCTCTATCACCATTTGCAAGATCAACTGAAGGGTTTTGTGGAAAAGGTTGGTGCCTTGGGTATGAACTTCTGCACAACATGTGAAAACTAAGGGCTATAACCACCTGAACTAAGTTAACAGGTCACAGATAATAGTGTCTTTTCTACCGAATATTAAATCTCAATTTTGGGATCAACGTGGTCAGCAGATAGTGTTTATGCTTTGGAAAAATTGATAGTTTCGTTTCTCTAACACAGTGTTCACTCAAATGAAGGGGCAAAAACAGAAATAGTGGAGAGTGAAAGATTTTGAGTATTGTGGTCTTTCATCTCTTTCTTTATTACTGTTGCTGAAACTGATGGATTGCTTGGTGTGGATCTGGCTTTTAGCTTTCTTCTTTAGGTTTAAGATTTTGGTTTTTGGAACAAAAAAATTGTTTAATGTCGAACACCTCAGATCTTGTATAGATATAAGCATTGATGTTTGAAGTCATAATCAGTAAAACACCAATTTTTGTTTTAAAGTGTCCTGAAAGCATTATATTTTTTTACTATCCCTGGGTTGTTAAAAAAAACACGTTTTTTGGGTTTATACAGTGCCTGAATCTTTTATCTGCACCTTGGTCTGATACTGCACATGCTCATCATATTGAGCTACACTACATGTCATGAAGATTTGCGCCCCTCCTTTGAATTTATGGTTCCCTGTTTACTTTGAGTGCCTATCCTTGTCTGAGAGCTTTATGACATTTTGTTTGTTGCTTTTCAGTATGAAGTGAAGCTAAAATGGTTAGACATTGAGGAATTATCAGCTCAATCTACAGGGAAAAAAATTCAGAAGATCTTCTCAACGTTCATTTTCTGTTTGGATGATCTTGGGCTTTGGCTTGCACTTAAGGTGCTATTCTCCTTTTTCTGTTTACTTCCGCTATCTTTCCATTCGACAGTATAGTTAACTGAATATTCCAGTAATAGGCTGCACAGTCAATATCATGTCGTGAAGTTAATGACTTATCTTGGGGGAACTTAGATGTGTTTGGTGAGACAATTGTGAAGGACTTTAGCCAAGATGTCCTCAATGCATTATCGGCTTGTATTCCTTCAGGTAATTTGATGAATACTGATTTGTAACTATCCAAAGTCTGATGCTCTGTTTGACATATTTCTCTCTCTTCTTTTAAAGATCCAAACTGGTCAGTTGGTGCTGATGTCCAAGGAGATGTGGATGCTGGGCTCATTACTTGTAAAGTTGTTTGTCTCATAGAATCCTTACTTGAGTACAGGTAGGTATATGAATGCAAGATCTCTCTGTTTCAAGTTACATGTGAACCTGCATAAAGAAATTATCCCTCTTTATTTCTTTTCAGGGATATTCATGATATCAGATGTATAATCTTTGTAGAGAGGGTTATTACAGCTATTGTACTTCAGTCTTTGCTAAGTGAGGTGCTTCCGAAGTACTGTAACTGGAAGACCAAATACATAGCAGGAAATAACTCTGGTTTGCTATCACAGACAAGGAAGCAACAAAATGAAATCGTGGAGGAATTCCGTAATGGGAAGGTTCGTTTTCTTGTTTCCCCTGTGTCGGAGATTTTGTTAACTCTTCTACACTGTAAACTGCTTAAGTGTTTCCTTTGCCAGGTGAATATCATTGTTGCAACGTCAATTCTTGAAGAGGGTCTAGATGTGCAGAGCTGTAACTTGGTCATTAGGTTTGACCCGTCCACCACAGTAAGCAGTTTTATTCAATCCCGAGGCCGTGCAAGAATGCAGAATTCGGACTATTTGCTGATGGTGAAGAGGTGATATTTTTGCTCTTTATCATTGGCTGAACTGAGCTTATACAGTTGGGTGTCCCTCTTTGTCTGTCACTGCAGAAAATTATATTGGATTCCAATAGATTATTTTATCTTTTCCCATTGTCATTTGCATTTGTTAGTCTATTCTTTTTGTAACACCTTCTTTGCTATGACTTAGTGGGGATTCTTCGACGCATTCTCGTCTTGAAAAGTACCTCTCTAGCGGGGAGACAATGAGAAGGGAATCTCTACGACATGCTTCCCTTCCGTGTGAACCTCTTAATGGCAACTTGTATGATGAAGAACATTATCAGGTGGCGAGCACTGGAGCAATTGTTACTCTTTCTTCCAGTGTTGAATTGATATACTTTTATTGCTCTAGGCTTCCTTCTGATAGGTAAGTTACGTCTCATTTTTGTTTTTTCTGATGCTATATTTTTCTCAACCTTTGATTTCTGCAGCTAAATGCACGTCTCTCATGTTCTTCCATGTGCTTTATGGTGCTTTTAAATTATACAGTTACTTCAAGCCTGCTCCGAGGTGTGACGTAAACGAGGAGATGAACACCTGCACTCTTTATCTACCAAAGAGTTGCCCCCTAGAACCTGTTCATGTCCAAGGCAATCTAAAGATGCTGAAGCAAATGGCATGTTTTGAAGCATGCAAACAGCTTCACAGGATTGGTGCTTTGACAGACAATCTTATCCCTGCTATTGTTGTGGAGGAAGCTAATGCCCCAGTAGTTGGTATTCTGTTATCTAGCTTCTAAAGTTCGGCATTTGCTTTTTCATACTTCTAATTTGTCTAGATGATCATGGCCTTATGACCTAGAAATTTTTTCTTCCTAATTCTTTGGTCATAATTACATTTACTATATATTTTTTTGGCTTGTGTCTCTTGCTTGATGAAAGGCAATGAACCATATAATGAAGACCAGCCCGCTTACTTCCCTCCTGAGCTGGTCAAACATCTTCCCAATAAGTCCAAGACACTGTATCATTGCTACGTGATTGAGTTGAGGCAGAACTTCAATTATGATGTAACAGTTCAGGATATTGTTCTTGCCACGAGGAGTAAATTGGAAGATGATATTTGTGGTATGTCTTTTAAATTAGAAGTTCCCAGAGGATCGTTGTCGGTGAACGTGAGGTACGTGGGAGAGATTCATCTTGATGAGAAGCAGGTGAGCTGTTTTATTAGTCTTTTATTCGACGAGAATGATATTTTTCAACATTGTAACTGCCTTTGTTCTAGAAGGGTAGTTTGTAGTAAAATTTTTTGCTACCTAGTGGAGGTCTGAGCAAGTTCACTAAAAATCTTGAGGTGGCTCTTAATTTACCTCTTTCTTAAATCATGTCACAGGTGCATATCTGCAGGAGATTCCAGATAACTCTTCTCAGTGTGCTTTTATATCACAGTATGACTAAACTGAGGGAAATATTAGATGGTTTAGCTTTGGTGAAAGCTCCTGATGTTGATTATCTACTCCTACCACATGCTGGTGCTCATCCAACACCAGGCACCATAGATTGGAGATCTGTCGTCTCTGTGTTATTTTCAAATGATAATCACATCTGCAGGAATTACTCAAAGTGTCGCCGTCATCGTGTAAGAATGAAAAATGGCCTTGTATCTCGTTGTATGCTGGAGGGTTCCCTGGTCTATACTCCTCATAATGGTCAGATTTACTGCGTTACCGGATTTTTTGATGATATGAATGCAAATTCACGTTTGAGGATGAGAGATGGGACAGTTACAACATATAAAAAGTACTACAAAGAAAGGTAATAATTCTAATTGAAAATTTGATTAGAAATAATACTTCGGCAGTTCTGTACTTTTGCCCTGAATACCCATGGTCAAGTTCTCAGCATGTTATTATTGCAGTTACGGCATCAAGTTATGTGTTGAAGAAGAGTTTCTTCTTAAGGGGAGGCACATATTTCACGTGCCAAATTGTCTTCAGCGGTGCAGGCAACAGAAGGAGAGAGGTTTTTATCTGCTCTCTTAGTGTATTATTTTTGCTTGCATGAAAATAATATAATTTCTATCATCACGAGGAAAAATGATAATGTGTTGGTTCTTCACCCAAAGTCTTATTTCACATTGTTAAATATGTCAAGAATGAGCTCAACCGTACAGCTCTTAGTGAATGTCCCCCATAATGGTTCCTCTCTGCTTTATTTAAAGATGCTACTATAAAACTTTATGCTTCAATACCAGACTAGATGATAGCCCTTCTGATCATCTCCGACACATTTTCATTTGTAAATGTGAAAACACAAATGCAAAAAGATGTTAAGATAGACCAATCTTTTTCATAGCTCAATGTATCATTAACTCGTCTGTGGATGTTACATTTTGTTAATGCAGAATCCAGTAATGCTTCTGTGGAATTGCCTCCCGAGCTATGTCACGTGATTTTGTCCCCAGTATCTGTAAATACACTGTATTCCTTCTCATTTGCTCCACCAGTTATGCACCACCTTGAAGCTTTGCTTGTTGCTGCTAATCTGAAGAGGGTGCTTTCCAACAGTTGCCCTGAAATTGTCTCTATTCCTACTATGAAGGTCTTAGTTCCTTTATATATCGACACTCGATGCTCATAAATGTGTGTGACAAATATTTTTTATCCTTTGTTAATCTTGGCCAAATTATCTGCTTTCTATATGAGGTGACAATCATGCATCTGAGTGCAATCCTTTCATATGCATTGGTTAATTTCGGTTCTTGGGTTTGAGATTCAGTTCTCAATATAACTCTTGGTATGACAATAGGAAAGGCCCTTTCTATGGATGATGGAATTCCCATCAGTCTGCTTTTGTAGGTCAGATGGGGCATTTGATGCTGACACTTTGACTTCTGCTATGGCTGTGTCCTATGTCTTCTGATATTGTCAAATTGACTTTAGATAAAAGGAATGTATAATGATAGGCAGGAGAGTGCTTATAATTTGAGTATTTGCTGCCTCTATTTTCTCTGCAACGAAGGATGTAAGCCATAAGGCCTGCAGAGTTTCCGCACTCGGCCATATTCTTTAAAAAATATCTTGACCCCCCTTCTATCTTCCCTAAACTGCAGCGACACCCCTTGCATTTTCAATCTTGGAACGGCACATCCCATTAAAATGTGTTGGCCCTGTTCAAATAATAAAGTACATGGATGGGCCTTAAATAGGTTTCACAGTTTAGGCAAAACTAAAGGGATTTCGTGGCAATTTTCACCATTTTTTAAAAAAATTTCTGGCCTTATTTTTTATTGATCGTAACCATGTTATTCCTTGACTCCTAAAATAGAGAGCTCGTGGGCTTTATTTTTAATCAAATAATAAACAAGCTAATCTGATTAGGGCAAGAGAACCCCGGAATAGTGTCGTAGTCTTGCTTGACTCTGAAAGGACTGGGTTTTCAGATTAAACCTAGCGGCAGTTTATCTATAAGTCTTTTAGTTGATGTCTTATGTGTTTTTGTTCTTTTAGGTAGACAATGCATCTCTATGGGCCAAATATTCATATACTTTTTTAGTTGCTTTTGCGTAATACTGGTGTCTTTCTATTTGGCAAGTCAATCTTTATGAGAATAAGAAGCTAATATCATGATTAGTCATCTAGAGAAGTTTAATCTGATCACATAAAGCAGCTGCTTGCCATGTATATCAAGAGAATGTTGGTTGACTGTCATTCTGTGTGTTGTAGGTCCTCGAAGCACTTACCACAAAGAGGTGCCAAGAGAGATACCATTTGGAATCTTTAGAAACTCTCGGAGACTCTTTCCTTAAGTATGCCGTTTGTCAACAATTATTCAAGACATACCAGAGTCATGATGAAGGCTTGTTAAGTGTCAAGAAAGATAAACTGATTTCTAATGAGACACTTTGCAAGTTAGGGTGTGACCGCAAACTGCCGGTATTGTCTTCTGTATAATTTTGTCAGGTTCTTGTGATTATGGCTTCAAGAATTCGATGCATCTCATTTCTCTATGTGCTAAATTAATTTGTTTCTCTTTCATCACTTTTCTCCAACATATTTCTCATTTTCCATATAAAGAAAAGCAGATTTGAATCAATGTATTTGGGTTGTAAGAGTTGCTTGCTTTTCTGTTGACTGGGAGAAATATTCTAGGACTGCTAGACATTGGTTTGTAAGAGAGCTTATAGAGATAACTTCCTGGTATTATCATGACTGGTATGATTCTGGAAAACTATTATTCGGGCCTTGTAGTCATTCTGCTTGTCCAAATTAAGTTCGATGGTTCTATGATTTTATTATGGTGATCTTAGCTTACAAACAATAGTATTTCTCAAGATACTGAGAGTGGAGTGTAAAAAATTACAAGAAATGCTTGATTTGGAAATAGGGAAAGAAAAAAATGACGATTTTTCTTTGCCTAAACTTTGTTTTGCTTCATTTCCAGTGAGCTGGTTGAAAGCCCTAGAAACATAGTTCTCTTCCAATGATTTTTCTCAACATACTTTTCATGTCATTTTTTGGACAACAATTTATCGAACTATTTCCCGTGCTAATTCTGCTCTGTTTAATATTTTTGAATGTAGGGTTTTATTCGTAACGAACCCTTTGATCCTAAAACATGGATCAATCCTGGTGATATATCTAGAGGACTGTCCCTGTGTGAGGAGTTGCTCCCTGAAGCAAGAAAAATGTACACTCTTGGGAGAAGAAAAATAAAAAAAAAGACAGTTGCCGATGTTGTTGAGGCACTTCTCGGTGCATATGTCAGTACTGGTGGTGAAAATGCTGGCTTGTTTTTTGTGCGTTGGCTGGGTATTGAAGTGGACTTTGGAATCAGCCCGTACAGAAATGTTCTTGTAAATCCTGAGAAGCACATTAATGTCAAGCATATAGAGTCCCTTCTAAGCTACTCATTTCGTGACCCTTCTTTGCTGGTGGAGGCTCTGACTCATGGATCCTATATGTTTTCAGAGATCCCAACATGTTACCAGGTACTTTGTATGTCAACTTGTTTTTATCCATATGTGCCTTGCACCTACCATTCGTTAAGACACTTCTTGTGGAATTCACAATTTATATTCAGTGTGTATTTTTGGAAAGTCTCGAGCATGCTCAAGTAGTCTGGCAATGGTAGTGCCGTGTTTACCCCACTTGGATTGATATTGGTTCTGTACATTGGCATTAAGACTTTTAAGCAAAATGGCAGATGATGCAGCTACTCGTTCAATTTCTGCATAAATTTGTCACATCTTTATTCATGATGCTTCTTTAGCTGTGAATTGCCTTGTATACAAGTTGTATTCTGTTCAGAGAGTTTGTACTGTGATTTATGGCCTCATCTTATCACTTGAATACCATTGCTGTTGATTGGTCTCTCTGTCACCATTGCACATGTAAATATTCGTTGATCTTGCTGATTAACTGGCGTAATTGAAGATTTCGCATGTGGAAAGAAAGTTTGCTCTGAGATCATCCAGTGATCCTAAATGCTTATTTATCTTCTGGTCTGTGCTTCATTTTGAGCAGATCTTGACTGGTGAATATATCGAATAATATATTCTTTTGTGCAGCGACTGGAATTCCTTGGAGACTCGGTTTTAGATTATCTGGTCACGATTCATTTATACAGAAAGCATCCTGGCTTGTCCCCAGGAATATTGACGGACTTGAGGTCTGCTTCTGTCAACAATGATTGCTACGCTCAGTCTGCAATAAAGGTTGGATTGCATAAGCACATTCTCCATGCATCAACTGTGCTGCAAAAGCACATTGCCGACACGGTCAACAACTTTGAAAAATTATCATCTGAGTTTACCTATGGATGGGAATCTGAAACATCCTTCCCTAAGGTTAGTCTTGTCACTTGTGCTTCTATACTCGTGTTCAGTTTTGTATCTTTCACTTACGTAGCAATTCCCAAGCCATGTGCTTTCTCTGAGATTGGTTTTCATGATTTCCTACTCTTTATGATGGGGCATTGACGCAAGTTTCTGGAATGCGACAGGTTCTTGGAGATATAATAGAGTCCCTGGCAGGGGCAATCCTTGTGGATTCGGACTACGACAAGGAAAGAGTGTTCCAAAGTATTAGGCCTCTTTTAGAGCCATTGGTTACGCCGGAGACGTTGAGGCCGAATCCTGTGAGAGAGCTGACCGAGCTTTGCCAGAAGGAGCATTTCATATTGAAAAAACCCGTTGTGTCTCGTGAGGATGGTGCGTCCTCCGTCACAATTGAGGTCGAAGCTAAAGGGGTAGCATACCATCACACGTCGAGAGCAGCTCATAAGAAGACGGCTAAGAGGTTAGCTTCGAAGGAGGTCCTCAAGTCCTTGAAAGAAAACATCCCTTGATTATGAAGATCGATTCACGACAGCTCGTGTCTACAAATCAAAACATTAGACACAATGTTTTCTTGTAGTCGAATCTTCGCCATTCAACCTCCAATTACTGTGGAGTGGCATTATTGACTCCGTTTTTTATGTTAATTGCCGTTGTGGCTATGGCTGCTGTGTTTTTTTTTTTTTTATCGGAGAGGGCAAATGTGGTCACGAGGGAGGGAGAGATCCGTTATGTTAGGCACTGAATTTTGTCAATTTAAGGGTACATTGTGGTTGTAGAGGCCGTGGTTGAATGCATGTTCAACTGTAAATAACAAAAACTAGGTCTGCTGCAGAAAAGTTTTGCCGAAATGCGCCAGAATCAGCCAACTTGCCCCATTCTTGGTGTAGGAAATTACAAGTTCGATCATGTCCGCATGAAGCGCACGCCTAGTATCTAAACGTGAAAATGATACAAATAATCCATGAACTTAAGCTCAATGTATAAAATGTTCCCTGAACTTTTAATTTGTTCGATATAATTTTTAAACTGTAACCCGGTATGCAATGTCTTTCTCGAACTTTCAATTTGTTTAACGTAATCTCTGAATTTTTTATATATGTTCAATCTAAACGCGGACTATATGAAAATGTTCAATATTTAAAGTTCAGGGATGATATTTTCAGGAACCAGATTGAACAAATTAAAAGTTCAGGTATCAAATTGTACATTGAGTAAAAGTTCAAAAATTATTTATATCGCTATCACTATCTAAATATTGTCAAATTGTTAGCACCAAAGCTTCAATGTGATGTTTGCGGGCTTCGACGCGAGTACAATAAGTTGGGCCCAGAAAAGAGAGAGAGTCCATGAGCTCGTTCTCTATCTTCAAAAAAGGGAAAATGATACAAATGGTGCATAAATTTTGATCAAATATGTAATGTGGTCATTGGATTTTAATTTGTTCAATGTGGTCATCAAACTTTAAGCCAATGTACAATGTCGTTCATAAACTTTCTATTTGTTTAATTTGACTTTTGAACTTTTGATACATATTCAATTTAGTCGTTGAACTATATGCAAATATGGAAGGATAACATTAAACATTTTGTTATAGTTTAGAGACTAACTTGAACGTGTAATCCTATATTGAACAAAATAAAAATTTAAAAATGATATTACACATTGAATTAAAGATTATGAATCATATTAAATAAATTAAAATTTTAGGCATCGCGGTTCACATTGAATCAAAATTCAAACACTACTTGTGTCATCCTCTCTCTTAACAATGTCCTTGACGAATGCACCGGCAAAAAGAGCCTGCATAAAGGCGGAACCTTTTCTGGCCAAGAAACGATGAATGATCATCACCGTCGTCATCATCAGCATCACCGTCGTCATCCAGACCCAGAATCCAGATATAGAAAGATAGATAGATAGATACACAAAAACCCAGAAGCAGAGACTGCTTCGAGTTTCGGTTTCCGTTGGGTTCGTGGGGGTCGAAGGAATGGAGGGTCTGTCTCTGGTCCGACCCTTTTGCTGCTCGAATGCGTCGGCCGTGTCTCCTGCGCGGGCACGACCCTTTCTTCGTCCTCCTCGCCTTCACCATCTTCCAATGCCTCGTCTCCTGCCGCCTCCTTCTCGCTCCCGTTCAGTCGGGTCGGTGGTGTGCTCGACCTCCAATGACCAGCTCAGTCAGAGCGTTGGAGCCGACTCAAGAGACTGGGCAATGCAAGGTCCTTTTCTTGCTTCTGGGGACCGAATTTTCTTGGTTTGTTTGGGTTGTTAATGGAGGTGACATTCTTTTTCGTTGGCTTCCTCTACCCTGGTATTTGCTTTTCAGATTTCTACTCCTTGAGAAGAGAGGTGGAAGCTGCATCAGCCCGTGTTGAGGATATCAGAGCGTCCGCGGGGCTCCAACAGTTGGAGAAAGAACTGGCGGGTTTGGAGCTTAAAGCATCTGATGCCTCCTTCTGGGACGACCGTGCTAAAGCTCAGCAAACCCTCTTGGCATTGACTGATGTCAAAGACAAGCTCAGGCTACTCTCTGACTTCAAAAATCAGGTTTTGGGCTCCCTACCAAATCTATCTTCTCCGCTGAATTGTTGTGTTGAGTACCATCTATCTCACAGCACCTAAATTGTTGAAAATCCAGCCCTTTTGCCATCTGCCACTGGGAATTTGAGCTTTTTTGTGTTTCTGCTGTCTTTTGTAGTGATGCTGTCAAGGGTCCATTAAAGGGAAAGTTTCTTATCGACTTGTGGTTATAGTTTCCCTCTGGTTTTGTAGACTACATTCTCACCGATGAGTTTGTGAAATTCGAAAATTTGAAATAGCTTATGGGTCAGGAGTTGATCATAGCAGAACTATGTGCATTTTCGGCATTTGTTGCCACACTTTGGGTTTTTTGTGGTACATGTTCGTGTGTAATACATATCCGTAGCCCAGTACAGTAAATAGGGGAGAAAAAACAATAGTCTTGCAATCCCTGTTGATGATTATCCTCATCATCATTGATAGAGGTGTCTGGTTAAATCTTCAATTGTTGATGGGGGGCTTGTGAAAATAAGCATCATTTTGTAGTTTTACCTTGCAGATGGATTGATGTGGTTGTACATGAAGCTATTTTCAGTAGATAATAGAGATTCAGCATATTTTGATGTCCCTTGGAGAATTTAAGCAGTATTATGGACCTTCTTAAGTTGTCTCTCTGTTTAGTAGATCTAGTGTAAATGTGCAAAAGGTCTAGAGTTGACCTCTTATGATCTATTATGCTTATATTGAAAAATCATTAGCATCGAAGTGAAATTTGAAAAGTAGACACATTTTGATGCAGATCGTTCTGAAAAGCTTCAATTAAATATGCTCTATAAATCGAGATATTTTCATTTGGAACACGTGCTCTCTAAAGTACGTGACTCCTGATCAGGTTGAAGAGGCAGAAACTATAGTCATGTTAACCGAGGAAATGGACTCTAAAGATACGGGACTTCTTGAAGAGGCTGCCGGTATTATCAAACAGCTGAACAAGGCATTGGATCTCTTTGAGTTAACTGAGCTCCTCTCTGGTCCCTACGACAAAGAAGGTGCTGTTGTTAATATAACAGCTGGTGCAGGTGGTACTGATGCACAGGTAATTAAACACGTATGCCATCTCTGCTGTTCTGCTTTTGTTGAGCATTGACCTTTGAGGGAGCATCGACTTATTTTTATTGGAGGACGTACATGGTAATTAAACACGTATGCCATCTCTGCTGTTCTGCTTTTGCCAAGCATTGACCTTTGAGGGAGCATCAACTTATTTTTATTGGAGGACGTACATGGTTTCCTATTGAGGCATTGAGAAACTCAACGACCTGGCAATGAGATTTAGAAAAGGCTTGCAATTGGAAATTCTAGCCTAACTCTTGAAATTGTAATAACAAGATCCTGTTAACTTAACTGGTGATGTCAATGCCTATGTGAATCTGGGAACTTTCAATAAGATAATTGAGAATTGGTGGCTGCAGGTCAATAAGGGACAGGCAGTTCCTTGGGAGACTAAGGGTGTTTTTGTTCTGTGGAGCACTTCTTGATGGAGGAACATGTTTTTCATTTTTAAGGAAAATAGTTGGTTTACAGTTGTTTGGTGGTGTATCTCAAGGAAAAAAGTTTTATGATGTTTAGATTTTTCTTTCAAAATCATTGTCTCCATTATATTGTTCCTGATAAAAGACACTAAGATGATATTGAGATGTTTATCTAAGATATTACTGTTATCGGAAGTATAAATTTTATGTTTTTTTTTTTCAATCTTTAGGAAGCACCTAAAAAAGGATGCAAAAAAAAAACAAAATTGAAAATGCGAATAATCAACAAACTTAACTCACATAAAACTTCACGTGAGAATGGTTCTCCTTTACAGAAAAGTAATCAAAACCTGATACCATAGTAAGCATCCAAACATAAGGTACCACAGAGAGAGAGAGAGAGCGTGCATGTGGAAAAGGACCTTAGGACAATTTCTCCTTTTTAGGTGGAGAAATTGTTTTCCTCAAATTTAAATATGGTTATTTTTCCTTGACTGTAAAGTTTTTTCTATTGATTATCCACTTTCAGCGAACCAAACATATGAAATTTTGGAAAATCATTTTGTGAAAAATCGTTTTCATAATATAAACACATACTAAGTAGCATTAAGGTTTAGAAAACTATGCCTTGGTGATGCAGTTAATTTTCAATCTATATTGAATATTTCTGAAGGCTTGCTACTGAGTAAATTTAGCCATCCTTTGAAGAAATGGTCTGAAGCCTTTTCTTCTATTGGCCTGGTGTTTACATGATTCTCTACCATCATCCACATCCCATAAGCCAAATTCTTAAATTTGATTTAGTTATGGACATTGAATATTTTAAAAGTGTAATATGTAGAAAATACCTCTGAGCCTAAACGAAATGATTAGATCTGATGGTTTGTCAAACGCAGTTCTCTTTTTGAAGTGGTTCCATAATGACCACAAGCCTCAAGTCATACATCTCTGCACTATGTCGATTGACACTTGAAGTGTCTTTCATTTTCTCTAAAAAATCTATTTTTAATAATTTTTGATAGCATTTAATTAATACAACTAAGAATGCTAATCTTCCTTTCATGTAAGTAATGTATGAATCTGTCTAGTATGTGAGCTGCAGTATTCTCTTTTCTTCTTTCTGTAAATTATTATGATCGACTTCAGTGCAGGATTGGGCTGACATGCTTCTCAGGATGTATGTGAGATGGGGAGAGAAACAGAGATATAAAACAAGAGTGGTTGAGAAATCCATGGGAGAGGAAGCTGGGATCAAGTCAGCAACACTTGAAGTGGAAGGGCGCTATGCATATGGATATTTATCTGGTGAAAAGGGGACTCACAGGATCGTCCGACAATCTCCATTCAATGCAAAAGGTCTTCGTCAGGTAATATTTGATTATTGTGATGATTCCACTATTTCTGAAGTTCGTGTTTTCAAGGAACCTATGAAAGTGCTCTCGATTAGTCGTGTTTCCTTCGAGAACAAGAGGAGATTTACTACCATGTTTTTCTATCTTGGAAAACCATGCAGACTAGCTTTTCTGGTGTTGAAGTCATGCCTCTTCTTCCTGAAGAATCTCTAAATGTTGAAATTCCGGAGGAAGATTTGGAAATTAGTTTTTCAAGAGCAGGAGGGAAAGGTGGCCAGAATGTGAACAAGGTAGAAACGGCAGTGCGGATCACTCACATTCCCACTGGGGTCACTGTTCGCTGTACAGGTATCTATCGTTTTGTCTGAAATTGTCAAACGCAACAGCGTCATTCATTCATTTCTAAGTTCTGCTTTTCATCATTGGCCAGCTGTTTTTGCCATAGGTTATCTCAAAAGTACTTTGTAGGATATATTGACTTTTTTCTAGGACTATGAATTGATTCTCTCTAGAACTTGGAAAAATAGATTATGTTCCATTTAACCTCTTATTGGATAGTACTTAACCGTTACCTGAGGTGCAAGGGAGCTCTTGGAAAATGTTTGTTTAAATTATCTCTTGACGGTTCTTAAGAGTGGTCAGGCGAACTCTTTGGACTTTTATTATCTCACTTATCTTGTGGCCACATGAAGTCTCAGCTTGTTCTATGTGTGAAATAGCAAACTGATATTTCAGTAACTGCAAACGCAGAGGAGAGATCCCAGCTATCAAACAAGATCAAAGCGCTCAGCCGATTGAAAGCGAAGCTACTTGTCATAGCAGAAGAACAGAGAGCATCTGAAATCAAGCAAATACGGGGGGATGCTGTCAAGGCCGAGTGGGGCCAGCAAATTCGAAACTACGTATTCCATCCCTACAAACTCGTCAAGGACGTGAGGACGGGGTACGAGACGTCGGATATCACATCTGTAATGGACGGTGAGTTAGATCCGTTCATTAAAACATACCTCAAATACAAGTACAGTATGTCGGTGTCGGCAAAATGAAGCTGGTCAGTAGGCTGTTTCAATATGCTGCTCGAGTTGGCCGGTTGGGTGCTTACCATTACATTTGTTAAAAGTGTAACGTAGCAAATGAAGATGGTCCATAGGGCGTTCTTGATATGAGATCCATTTTTTTGAAGAAGAGGCATTTTGTGTCATGGAACTTTCCCCGCTGAGAATGTATATATTATACGTAAGACGTTATTTGGGCGATACCTTCTTAGGATCCTTGGACTTTCTTATATCGATAATTCAACCCCGCCAGTAAGGCACAAGCACAAGCTTGAGTCCACATTACCTGCCTCACTTGCATTTTCAAGCATTGGTACATCAAATTTGGTTCTTAGCATGCATTAACAGCACCAACTTCCCTCGAGCCCGATGCCTTTGAGTATGTGGGTTTGGAGTGGTAAAGAAAACATTCATTGACAACAATTTTACTTAAGTCACCTTACCTGTCAAAGAAACAGACCATCTAAGCCCCGAAAGAAAAGGGAGAAAGATAACACAGGACCATATTCGAACGATTGTTGAAATTTGCTGTCAAACGGTCGCCCCTGGGGTTATCAAGGTGGATACCAAAAAAATCATGGTAACTGAGTTTGCATTGAAATTGACCTATTACAAATTGGTCGAAATGATTATTCATTTTCAGGTGCCTGCTTTCAAGTCAGCTCATACAAGCATCATTACTCTGTAAGCGTGCAACTCATGTCCCCTAGGGAGGAGAATACAGAAGCTCTTCCAGACGAATAGAAAAATACTCGAAATGTGTACAGTACCGTGACAAATTAACTGTGCCAGTTGATGGTTTCATGCTGCCTTTCCTTTCCCAAAAATCAAGCCCAAAGAATAGGTGTTGCCTTTTTGAGCAGCTGCTTCAACTCGATTCCCGCCAATCTAGAAATCAATGTCACCGAAAACCCCCGTATGAATTCAAGAAACAATGAATTGCAGTGACCAAAAACACCAGGACAGACCAGAATAGTCTTTTTGGCTAGTAAAACGGTATCCAGGAGAACATAGCATTTCAAAAGCACCAAGCAAAGACCAAACCTTCATATTTAGAACTGAATGTAACAATTCCTGTATCAGGGAATACATAGGAAGTACCTTGTCCATGAGAAAATAGCCGATTGTTGGCATGTACTGCACCAAATACATGACAGCAAGTACAGGCTGCAAAAAAGCCACTTACTCCATTAGATGTACAGACAGTTAGTTGAGAACGAGAACAGAGAGGCCTTGCATTATATACTTCTACTGGATGACACATTCAACAAGGAACTATCTGCATGAACATTATGTGCCCATCAAAAGAGCACCAATAGATTGTAACCAAAGTTTGTTAAACTATAAGCTACTCGCGATTCATCACCAAGCTCCTTCCTGTTTTGAGAGCACATCAAACTAAAAATTCTGATCCAGTTCATTAAGAGTGTTCTTCAAAAGGATTCCCTTCGATGATCCGACTTGGCCATTATTACACATGTTGGCCACAAGGAGCAATTAGATGCTATGGAAAATACAATAATTATGTTAAATTCTCAGTTAGATCACAGAACCTGCTCGTATAGAAGCACTCCTATTATTGAAGAGCACCTGCCTAACGGAACTGTCAAATTGAATGTGCATCGCCTTACAACTCTTCAAAGTGTTGTCACTCAGGAGCAACTATTTTTTTATAATAATATCAATAAATTTGTTGATAACTTGGATTTATCAAACGTTAAGTTGCAAAAAGTGCCTCTCTTGCAAGGAAAAACGAGAGAAGCATTGCTGGACGCTGACATTTTATAGGACTTCACTACTTCAATGCATAAAATTTTTTAAGTAACATCATTGGGTCGTATTCCAGTTCGAAGACAGATCATGCACGTTATTAATTTGAAAAGTGTTATGCCAGGAAATTTTTCAACTCCTGAAACAGGTTAGAGCATGACGTTGAAATTTAAGAAAACTTACAAAACAAACAAGATATATTACAAAAGTGGAGGTTAATCCAAAAAATCAAATAAAGAAAGATGAGAAAATCTCTTAAGTTCGAAAATGAAAAAAAGGGAACACCAACCTGGTATGATATCCAAGCTTCCTTTAAGCCATGAGAGGCTGCAATTATTGTCAATTCAGCACATCTTTCAGATGACACACGCTTCTGTAAGTACGAAGAGGTAGTAGAGGTAAGACAGAAAACAAATGATCCCACAGAAGCCACGAACATGACAAACAGAGAGAATATGTCATAGTAGGTTGATTTAACAACTACTAGGTGTTGACTGAACGGTGAAACTTGTAGCAATGCTGAGTGGCAGATTCTCTCTTGGCCTGCTCAAAGAGTGCAGAGAACCACTAGTTTTGCAACTGACAAGGAGGTTTATTCATAGCAATATAGAAAATAACCAGGAAACTGGAAATAATCTATTAAGGAAAGTTTCCTAAGTTAAGGTTATGGTTTTTGGAGTCATTAATTTCTTGTCCCTGTTCTCCTGGCCATAAAAGTCTCTAAAGAGCTGCTCACAGCATCACAAGAGAGCTTTCAGTTCTGCCAGCATTGAAATCATCATGTTCGGTTGGATTATGCAATGAATGCTAATTGAGTTCTTTGCTCTAGCCTTTTGTACTTCTTTGCAAAAGTATGGCCTCTGCATGGAAGTGTCTTTCTTCCATGGATGATACAGAATTTTCAACTGCACACAAGCAAAGCAGCTTCCCTGCTATGATAACTTGGCAATAAGAGCAACACCTGTTGCATGTAAATCAGCCTCTAGTTGATGACTTATAAGTTCATCACACGCTAGAATCGGGAGAGAAGTAAGGTATAAATCATTAGTGATTTGCCCATTAGAAATAGTTGCAGTTGACTAATGGGAGCAAGTAAACACTTGGCATCTTCTTTGGCCAAAAAAATTGAGAGCTGGATCAATAGCTAGCGTTCTATTCTGTAGGAAAAATCTAAGAACAGTGCCAAATCACCTCTGAGGAGCTCCTCTTCGTGGATGCTGTCGCTCCAGATCCATTTGATGTCTCTATTGGTCCAGGACAAACAACAGTCACCTTGATTCCTTTCCGGAAGAGCTGCAAGCAGGGAAAGAAATAGGCTTCTTTTGAAAGAATTACAACTGAAGGAAGAGCAAGCAACGTGTCCAGAAGATGCACGTAAAGAGAAAATCAATGTATGAGAATCCTAAACTTATAGAGGTATAAAACATCAAAGCACTGTTCTCAATTTTTTTAAAGAAACAATGAGGAAACTATCAGAGCCCTGTTGTGCCTCACATAGTTGCAAGCAGGAACTTTTCAGCACTTTTTTGACATTCGTAAGACTAGGACACTTGTAGAAGTAGAACCGTTTGTCTTAAAGACATCAAAGACTTCTCCAATTACAACGGTCACAATCTACTTCACCATCACAAGCTTTCTATAACTAGAAATTTTGTCTTCACCAAACCTTCTTAGATGCAACCATGAGAACAGGCACATGCTCTTCTGCCACAAGTTTTCTTGTAAGGATTTTTTCTTGTGTTATTCCAGATAGGCGCTGTTCAGGCTAAAGCATAAGATTCTCCCATTTGTCCTCACTACTGAGTACCAATGGCAAGTTCAAAGGATCCAAATCCAATTATCCAGTAAAAAAAAAGCTTAAGGATATCCTTATGGTAGGACAAGACCAGATGTTAAGATATTTTAACATCAAAGGAAGTGGTAATACAGACACTTGTGAAGTAGTCCTAGTTGACTGATAGCAAATATTAAGTGAACTCTTAGTTTCAATTTTGAAAGGATTAATGATCATAGCAAGGGCAGCGGTTGATATAAATTTGCAACTTTGAGGCACCCTTTCTCCAGAAGGATGCTTGAAAGGTACCATAATAGATAATCTCTTTGTTCCAAGTTTACATGGTAGATGCCTTCGTTAGTAAATCCAATTACTCATCAACTTAGCATCAACAAACTTATCAAGGTTACTTTTTGCACAGTTATCTCTATTTTCAGCTTGATAATTCAAGCATGCAATTCTCATAGTCAATCTTTTCACATAATTAATTCCTGTACTCCAAAACTGCTGACACAGCCATTATTTAGTTCATCGAACTGATGCATAATATAGCTCCAAAAAAAAAAAGTGACGCATAATTCCTGCTCGCAGGCTAGACGCATAAGTCCTGCTCGCAGGCTATCTCAGTGATAGCTCTTCCTCCAACTATGTAAGCCAGAAAGTGAAGATACTACCAAACAGACAGTCACAAATATAACCTTGAGAACAGAACAACCTGTATACCTCAGAACGCAAAGTATGGAAGTAACCATTTAAAGCAAACTTGGATGCAGAATACACAGCTTGACCAGGTGCAGGTGCTTTCCCAGCTGCACTACTCATCTGCAATAGTGCGAAAACAGAAGCTTTTTGACCAAAACATGACTAATAAAACTGGTTATTGGCAAAGGCAAGAAAAATGATTCAGTATTCAACTAGAGCCATTATAGCAGGGAAACACAGCAAAGCTAACATTTACAAGTTCCACATCTACTTAAATCTATATAGCCAAGGCCAAACCTCCATCTTACCTGTTGTATCTCAACGAAAAAGTGCCTCTTTCTCATATCTGATCTAGGCTTCAGAAAATTTCACAAGACTACAAATCGAGAATTACCCGAATTTTGACATGCAAGTTTCCAATTTCCAAAGGCACCTTTCCTTACCAAGGCTAGTAAATAACCAAACAAGTATTTGCACGTACCACAACAAACTGACCCCTGCCACGTCTGAGCATGAAAGGTGCCAAAAGCCGAGTCAAAGATATAGTCCCAAAGACATTAACATCGAATGTTGCCTAGTTGCATAAAAGAAGAGCATAATTGGTAAGTTAAGATAATTAACCTGCAATTCTAATTGTAACAGAAGGACCATCAGTGCATAAGAGGAGAGAAAAAGAGCTGTGTATAAGATTGAAATCTGCGATTGTCTTAGAAATTTAGTCACTGTTGGTTTCAGAGCTGATGCAAGATTCTTCCATACCTTAAAGCTTTCTTCCGTCACATCCAAAGCTGTTGTTTTCTGCCACAGTCAAAGAGATTGATTATGAAGGCCTAGCTAATCACAGTACACATTCACCCCCTCTTATGACACAAATGGTTTCAGGGATATAAGAATATCAAAACCAGATGATATGATGGGTGCAGACCGGGCTACCATCTTTGCGTATCCCATTCTAGATCAAAACGGAGACCACCAAAGAAAAACCCAGTGCATTGAACTAGAGATGTAGAAAGATTCCCCCACATGGTAATCCAAAAAGAAAGTTTATAGCCACTCTTCTATCCAATTATTGGAGGAAGACTGGTGTTAAATTATTTATTGTATATTTAAACAACTTAAAGCAAGAGCTAATTTTGCTGGTAAACTTTTCCTTACCTTTCCTTCTGGGTTCTTTTCTATTCTTTTCAATGAGCTTCTTTGCCTTATGATATTAATTTGAATAGCCATGCATTGTGATAATGGACCTCTTCAACCGTTGCAGTGATTATATTCTGTCATTTGACCTCATCTTCCAAACTTTTATTTTCCAGATAAACAACTTTACTGTACCTCCAGGCATCACACTCGATCTTTTAAAAGCATATTTTAACCATGCTGGTTTGCGTAACGAGCACCAAATGCAAAGGACCAACTTCTTAATCCTGCTAATTCCAGCATCCTCATTGTGCGTGTGTGATGTCAATTTTTCATTAGTATTTCGTTCGAAAAGTACTCTCAACTTACAGGGCGCTCAAAGGCCGCATTGTGGATCATAATGTCAACACCAGAGCCAGGGAAGAAAGATTCAGCCTTCTCCACAGCCCGCCGGAGAGAACCTTCTCCGGATGCCAAATCTAGCGGCAAGATTTGCACTTCATCAGGCGCGTGTTTACCTGCCAACACGCCATGCGCAAGTAGTGTCATCGTGAGCAATGCCGTCGGTAACTTGATCGCAGGACAAAACCGAAAATGACACTACCAGTGAGCTGAGCCTTGACGCGCTCCAATTCAGCTTCACTCCGAGCAGAGAGTATGAGCTTCGCCCCCAGATTCGCTAGTTGCTTCGCGAGAATCTCCCCTTCAAGAATCCAGCACGAAGAGAAGAATACTCAATAAGGTAAATAAAAACGGGTGGCACGACCCAACAACAGTAACGCCATGGGCGAGCTAAACGAAGCAAACAGGAAGACACGGACGCAGCGAGAGGCGAAACCATACCAATCCCACGACTAGCGCCAGTGATCCAGACAACCTGCGCGCGCACGAACGACGACCCACCTCAAAACGGATTAAGCCGAGCCCAACAAAAGGGGGGACAAAAAAAAAAGAGGCAGCGATGAGACAACAAGGGATCGCGGGTCGCTCACCTTATCTTCAATCTCGTCGCGCTTGACATGCCTCTTCGACATCAACGTGAAGTCTCCTGACCAAGGACAGAGAAACAAAGAAAGAAAGAAAGAAAGAAAGAAAGAAAGATCAGATTAAAGAAGGAGGTGAGCAGAAGAGAATGGGGAGGATGACGGGTGAAGAAGAGGACGACCATCGGCGGTGACGAACTTGAAGAGCAAAGCGGAGATGCCGAGGAAGAGCAGGAGCAGGAGTATCATCATCGTCTTCCTCGTCTCGGTCTTATTGTGCAACCCTGTCGGAGTCACAGTTAGAAGAACCTCGACCGACCGACCCTTCGTTTAGTTTCTGCAGTTCATGGCAACGATAGCGTCTACAATTGAATTGAGGGAAGATTCCAAAATGAAAGCTAATTTGGATATGGGAAAATTTTAAATAAATGTTCGGAATGCTATCATTTTTTGAAATAAGAGCTCATAGTAGATTTTATTTCAAATAAAAGTATGAAGTATCCTCATTTTCTCAAATGAACTTTATTTCAAATAAGGATATGAAGTGACCATATCAATCTTAAAAAAGGCCTGTCATTTTCGTCTTTTAATTTTTTTTTTGATTTTTTCCCTTTTTCTTTCTTTCTTATTTTCTATTTTTTCTTTCCATAATAAACATTAAAAATATTAGATTACAAAATAATTAAAAAAGAAAAAGAAAATACAAGCGAGAGGACTGGTCAACCCTCACGCCTGTGGTCGTTGCCCCATCATCGGTGGGGCGGCGGTGATGGTCGGCGCCTCGGGGAGGGTCAGCGCCTCCAGACTTAGGTGAGGGCTAAGCTATCATTGTCGCCCCATCATCACAGGCGAGAGGCCAGTCCTCTTGCTGGTATTTTTTTAAAATTTTTAATTTAATTTAACTAAATTTTATGTTAAAATTATGTTTAGACAAAAATTCCCTTGATCGGTCAGGAAATTTGGCTGGTCGAAAGGGTTAGGCTCGCTCTTATTTGAAACTGTTATAGCCATTTTGTGACATTCACGATTTTGGCTATGAGGAATGGTTATAGAACTGGTGTGTAGATTATGGGAGAAATCGGCCACGGACCAATTCAAGGATAGGTCATGTATCGATCAACTCGATCGGAAGGGAAACAAAGGGATCAGCCATGGTCTGATCAAAGGATCGGCCCTGGAATGATCAAGGGATCGGCAGTGAATCAATCCAATGACCATATAAGTGACCCAAGCTATTCGGCTTTGGATCGGCTTCTCGACCATAAGGGCTGGTCGTGGGACGGTCATGTACCACCACGGATCGATGGACGATCATGGATTGATTCCGCGCAGTCTTATTCTGATCGCGGGTGGTTTCGCACGGTCATATACCAACCGCGGATGACAATGGATCGATCCGTGTGACCGTGTGTCGGTCATAGAATGATCGATCCCACACAACTACATGACAACCGAGGGTTGGCCACGGACCAAGTATGCTTGGCCATGGATCGGACATGGACTGGCCATGGACCGCTTAGACGGGCCATGGACCGCTTAGACGGGTCACGGACCGGTTGTGGATCGGTCGCGGATTGATTCGGCGACCTTATCGAATAGGCCATGTGCCCAAGCCGTGAGCCAGGTCATGTGTTAGGCCACGAGCTGGCCATGTGCTGAACTTGGACTCTCCGGTAAAGTCAAAAGCTAGCTCAAGCACCGGCCATGTGCCGGTTGGCCTATGGACGTCGCGGATAGGCCACGAGCCAGGCCAGGCACGGGCCATGCGCCCGGTCTACCTGGCCACTCGCCTGGCTAGTGCCGGCCACTGTGCCCACGCCATGGGCCACCGACTTAGCCACTCAAAATAAATTTGGCCATGACCCACCACTTCCGATGGTGACTCGGCTATGAACCTCAATTGGATAGGCATGGTTGATTGTGGATGGACATGAGGACCTCATCCTCGACCAAGTTAGCACTTCCATTGGCCTAGTTCTCATGTTTGCCTTATTCCTTGGAAAATGGACAAAATGGAAGATTCTAAAACGGAGGCTTGTCTTGGAGAGCAAGCAAGAGATTGAAATAAATCCAAAGCTAATGATTACACCAAATCTAGACATTAAACGAGGAAGGGTGAGTCATATGCTTAGTTGTCTTCTACGTTGTCACGTCCCGGCCAAAACTGCAACTCGTGGGCTCACTTTGCGACGTCTCGTTTAATTTTATCTTATCGTTACGAACAAGCGGAAGTATAAACTCGAGAAAATCATAACAAGATCAAACAAACAACGGGGTTAAGACAAGCATCATGAGCAAACCTTATATTTACAAGATGCAATATATTACATGTCACGCCCCGAGATAAGGTCGTGGCACTTGTTCCCGGCTCGAACGTGCTTCGTGTAGGTTCCGAGGATATATCTCAACGTCCCGTTATTGTTTTCTTCATTTAGCACAAGCGGAAGCAATCAACAAACAATAACGAGAACACAAGTGAACCAAGCAACATATTATACAAACACATTATATTCACATGATAGTGGATTACTTATTTTACAAGCCCTTCTTATTTCGAGCCTTTCTTACTATGCATACATCCAGATCTCGTCCAATATCCACTCACATATTCCATATGGCCGGGTTACGCCTAGCTTCACTAACGTCCCTTCACAAAAACAAAAAGGTTAGTCGCCTTCCAAAGCTTAGTCATCTCCCTACGGTTCCTCCACTCCGGCCCCGGGTGGTCCATTATACCCCTCACTGGGTCCGACCACATCTCCGTCCATCAAAACGAACCATGCGACATAACGGTGGGGGACCACGTCGTTTGCATTCACTTAGACCCAAATAGTTGTGCTATATTTTCGATATGTGATATCAGCTTCTACGTCAACAATATCTACCACTCGAACATGCATTTCTACGGGTCGACCAAAATGAACGGGAGGTGGCGTTGCCATACCTACAAAGCTGAAAATAATAAAAATGAGTCGACACTTAGTAAGTTAAATTCACTATGCTCCGGCTAGGAAATAGCCACACATAGGACAAGAGAAATACACGTTACCGTTGGCTTGTCGATGGTAGATCAATAGCAATGCATCTTACCTTGCCTTTGTATTAAACATGGCATGTTCAACAAACGAGAAAACATCAAGCATGATTTTCAAAGTTGCATGTAAAGATCAACACAAGGGATTCATCATTTCATGACCGAAATCCATCGATCCTTCCGGCTTACCACTGGGCATCCGAGTATTCTCTCGGGCATCGCCTCGAAATCCATCGAATAGCGGCATCATCCCGAAATCCATCGAAGACGGCATCACCCCGAAATCTATCGGTAGCGACAACGTCTCGAAATTCATCGGTGATGCCAATAGTCCTTCGTGTGATCATGCAACAAGCAACACACATTTCCGGTTATCTTGATCTTATTAGCCCATGCAAACACGTGGTACTCGTGGAATTCATGCTTTCTTGGTCTCTTCAATAATGACCCTTGTCTTGACTCCCATAATGGCCTTAAATCTAGAGATTGCAAGATCTCATGCATTAATGGAGAAGATCACATGCATTAATGAAGACCTTATCTCATAAGATTCTCTTAATGATGACCCTCCAATTATTGGTTCCAACTTTGATTTGGTCAACTTTGGCTTCTTGCTCCCTAAGCTTGGCCAAAACATGCTGATGTGTCCTAAAGATCAAGTGGCTAATGGCACTTAAGCATATGCTCCAAAAATCACTAAGTATACTTAGCAAATTGCCTAAGTAAATGGGGAAATTCCGGGTTTCAAATAATCGATCATCCTATCCGGGTCGAGGTTCGGTGTAAAAATTCCTCAAAATATGATCAACACATCCAAGCCAAAGTCCAAGTCCAATGGTATAAGCTCGGGCCGTCGGGTTGCCCAGGTGCATGGCCTGTACAATCGGACCTAATCGAGTGCACAGTTGGGCACGTTACCAGGCCACACGGGGCACATGGCCGGGCGCATGGCCGAGTGCACGGGCGCGGTGCCGGGCTGCACGAGCGGTGCGTCGAGCACGATGTCGAGCCGCATAAGCAAGGGGCCGGTTCATGGACCAAACACATGCATTGGCTCATGAATGGGCACAATGCATGGCTCATGGCCAAGGTTATTGGGCACGGAACTAAGTTGGAGCCGGCTTTGACGGGCACATTGACTGGCACAAGGATCAGGCACAATGACCGGCACACGGATGGGCACAAAGCCAGTCCCTGGCCTCGCTGACGGGCACAATGGCCGGTCATGACCGGGCACAAGGCCTGCCCGGCGCGGCTGGCACACTGCTAGGCCCGCGATCAAGCCACTAGGCTCATGGCCTGGCACATGGCTCGGCCATGGCCAACCCGACTCAACGCAATGATCCGTGGCCGATTCGCGAACGGTCCACGTTCGAGCATCAACAACGCATGGTTGACCCTGGGTTGTCATGTGGCCTCGTGGAATCTGGCATCCCCGGGATTAACTCATGGTCATCCGTGACCGATGCATGGCCGTACAGTATCACCCGCGACCGATACATGCCGACACGACACTAATCCATAGTTATCCCGGACTGTCCCACTAACGGCCCTTATGGTCGAAGGGTCAATCCATAGTCGCATCACCCTTATCGACTTGCGTGATCAGGGAGTCATTCCACTGTCGATCCCTAGGCCAATTCATGGGAAATCTTTCGATCAGACCATGACGAACCCTCAGTACACTTGTTCCGACTATGTTATCCATTCCATTACCGACCCTCGGCTCGATTGCTCGCCCATTCTATCACTATTTACCTTTAGCTATCTTGGTCCCAAATTTGGGGATGTCACATTACAAGCCAAACATTTTTACATGCTCTATTTTTTTTACGAGCCGATTCACATACGTGTATCCGCTATAACATACACAGTCGGGTTACCCTATCACCGCTACCGTGGTTCCCTCCCAAAAGGTTCTCCTCAAAAAACTTCTTCCCAAACGGGCTTAGTCCCTCCCAAGTCGGATCCACTGCCTATGCTCTGTTTACGGCGTTTTCGGGTGCTGGTCCGTTGGCACCACCAAAAGGGCCATTGAACCCGTGGAGAGGTCCGAACAATCCACCTTCCGTCCACATATACCAAGCTTTGTACCTATGAAGGACGGGGCTGTTAAGTCCATCATCGACCATGACTTGAGAAATCACTTTTCAATAGGCTCTACCCTCCTCCGCATCTATGACGTCCATAACATCCACTATAAGCTCCACGGGGGTATCGAAACATACAGGCGAAGACGCCATCCTACAAGTTTGAGGAAAAGCATGGGGAATGAGTCAATGACTCAATAAGTAAAATCCACTAATGTCAAGTTAGGAGGAAACAATCGCCGTCGGACATC